GAAGCTAATAGTGGCCGAGCGGTGGCAGAGGCTGAGGGCTGGTGCTGAGCTGCAGCTCAGCTCCCTGCTGACGTCTCCATCGCTTCCAGATGGAGACTCCTCTGCTCCTCAGCCTGGTCTGCAGGGAAGGGGACGAGTGTCAGGGCCAGGAGAGCCTCTGTGGTCGGTCACATCGTCAACCACCCGGCGAGACGTGGAGCTGCAGCCTGTGTGGGGGATGGCTCCAAGTGGCCCCGCAGCCCCAAAGCAGCTTGTCCTCCTTGGGAGCTCGTGACGGGCGCAGCGTTACCTCTGGCGAGCAGGGCAAAGCTGGCTAATTGCTCTCAGAATGACTTCACCACCGTTTTGGCACCGGGGGTTTTTATCGCCGTTGCCTTTTACGATGTTTACCAGATAAAAGGCGCCTTTCAGTGGCTCTGGCTGCGATTCCCAACAATACAGCTGCGATATCTACCCCGATTTCTGTCCTGGACAAGGTTCTGTGGAATTGCCACCAATATAATTATAAAGCGCTGTTTTTACATCCTCCTCTCGCTACTCTACTGCTAGACTTTGGCCGGAGCGGCATTTCCAGCTCCAGGGGAGTACGTTCAGGCAAAAGCCAAGTGGTAGCTCCCAGAAGTCAAATCCAGACTTTGGCATGGGATAGGGAAGAGCGAGGAGCAAAGTGGGGCGAGACGGAAAAAAAAAGCAGAGCACCCCCCTTGCTGGAGCCATCCCTGGGGGCAGCCAAGCGGGCGCCAGGATGGGAACGTCCTGTGGGATGGGACGGGACAGGACCAGATGGGAGGGCCGCCGGGTGCTCCCAGAGGTGAGCCTGCTCCTCAGTTTTCCCCGGAGGTGACGGGCTGGCCCAGGCAGCCGCAGGACTCGCTGGCTAACGTGTAACCAGACGTGGCCGGGCCGCGACGCTGGCGAGGATTTGGCAGCTGCTGCCCAGGGTTTCCGCCCTCCCCGTGACGGAGGAGCTGCGCGGGCAAAGGGAAATGCAAAGGAACTGTTTTACAAGCCGCTCTGCCCTGGAGGGGAACGGCTTGGGAACTGCGTGCTCCCTGCTCTTTCAGGAGCCGGGGTTTCCGCAGCCTCAGCCTTGCTTCCTTCAGGCTTCCTTGGGACAACTGCCAGAGGTCTCGTGGCTCACCCACCTGGGACACGCGGCAAAATTCATCCGGGGTTTGATTGTGAGAGCGAGCGAGAGGCGCACGAAGCCCCGCATGCAACTGCTGGGGCAGCCGCAGGGGGAGAAACGAGCCGACCTTTTTACATGGAAAAAGCCCTGTTGTGAGGGGGGGGAAAAAAAAAACACATAGACAGCAATTACTGTTTTTCTCCTCTTATTTGTGCTCAAACTCCAATAAGACAAAAAAAAAAAAAAAACAGTGATGATAACAGCAGGAACGGCAAGCTCCTCTCCTCAATAGTTGCTATTTTTTTTTCCCTGATTTGGTCCACAGCTCAGTTGCCTATTGAAACTGCCCAGTGCCGGAGGAGAGGGAAGAGGATAACACCTTAGGCCAGAACCGCTGCTGGTGAAACCCCAGCCTGACCCAGTGCTGCCCACCTGGGATGTTGGCCCCTCTGGTGGCTAATCCCAGGCTCCGGAAAAGGCGCCCAGCTCCCAGCTGGGGCAAACCGTGTCCTTGCCGTCTGCCACGGGAACTCGGCTGGCTCCGGGCGCACGGCCCCATTAGCGTTGTCCATGCTCCTGCATCCCTGCCTTTCCTAAGCAGTATCCGGAGGCATTCCCAAAGACCTTCTACCTGGGAACAGCTCGTTTTAGAGATAGGGGCTGCGATGCCCATGAGGCTTCAGCCCTTCTCACCAGCCAGCAACCAGCAGCACATGCTTGGAGGGAAAGCAGAGGAAGGATGAAGGGAAAAGATGGTACCTCTCAGACAAGACCTCCCTCCTTCCTGTTAATTTGTGGCTTAGAGAATTCACGAGGTGCCTCTCGCTTCCTTACTTGAGTCACCAAGGGACCGCCCAAATGTCTCCAGCTTGGGGGATCCTGGCCTGAACCTCTGCCAGCTCCACCATGCCCGGTGGGAGCTTTTAAGCATCTGGAGGATAAAAACACCCTGAAAAGCACAAGACCAGGTCTCCCAGACCGATTACCCAACACGGTGCAGCAAAGTCCTTCCCAATACCCATCTGCTGCTCTCGCATGGGAACAATGGGAACATAAATTCCTCCAATGCTCCGGCAAGGAGCCTCTGGGGAGAGGGATGAGGCGGCTCCGGGAGCGCACAGAGCTGCCAAGCACGAGGCCGATGGCCACGCACGGAACAATGAGGACCAGGGAGCCGGGAGCTGCTGTCTGCAGCATCTGCCCCGCGCTCTCCGCACAGGGGAAGCGCCCAGCTGGAGGCCTTCCTGCCAGAGGAGCCAGGGATCCTTCTGGAATGCTGGAGAGATCTCCTTTTGTTAGCTTCCCGCTCTGGAAACATAAGGCCCCTTCGAACGTCGCCTCCTAGGGACAGAGGCACCAGGCTCTCCACGTTGGCAGCGTTAATGGAGCAAATGCCCAAATTCATCACGGAGTGACCGGCCGAGGCGTCTGCCGCAGCCTGGGTGGCACCTGGGCCCTCCTCGGCCTCGCACCTCGCGCCATTCCCGGCGTTCCCGGGGGAGAGGCGGCCCCGGCGACTGGAGGAGGGAGGCGGGACGGAGCCGCCGCGCGGCGCCTCCCC